CACCAATCTGAGTAGGGCGACACGACGCTCATCGACGGCCCGACATCTATCGATGGCCGAAATCGGCTTGGTGTGTAAGGGACTTCAAGTAAAAGACACAGAATCAGCACTTTTGAAACAGGGCTGAAACAGAGGGGTTTATGGGATGCTACAAGGCATGATCTGTTTGGTATTTTGAGCCAAACACTTCAGAGACATGTTTTGTATATATCTGAGACCTATAATATATTGATGAAAAACTGTATAATAGGAGACCTTTAAGGATTGTATTACCCTTCTTACTTGAAAAATGTTTAAGCTACATCGGTTTCTTAAACACATGATTAATATTGGGATTGATCAAGATTGAAGATACAGTTTATTAATGGGACTGCAGGCACATCCTTCCTACTATCAAACTAGTTTCATTAAGGGATAAATGGAAATGAAGATAGAATCCCGACAACTCCACTGGAGCATTGCTAGAAATCTTTTACCTTTCATACCTACCATACGGCCGTCAAATGAACCTGCCTCTATAACATCCTTCATATCCATTACCTGGATGTGTCTGGTGTGAGTCGCAGGCTGCCGGAGGTTGAATGATGCCACAAAGTGCCAGGAAGCTCCCAGGGTGGCGCTCAGAAAATGCCAAGGTTACTATTTCCGTGCTGTAACATCAGCAAAGAAGAGACAGACAGAGAGACAAAGGAAGGAGGAGGAGGACAGGAGATGAGTTCAAGCGAGAGAAAGAAGAGTGAGGAAGTCGGAGAGAACGCTATCACCTTTCTCTTATTGTTACCATCAGCAACATGGGGAGGAAGGGGGGGATGAGACAGTGCTGCTCACATTTCACTCAGCACTACATGAGGACACACTCACACTGATTAAACAACCCTGATACTGTAGACTCACTGTGCTGAAGTATTAATGAGTGATGAACAGGCATTTAGTGTTCCTACTGTACAGCAGTAAGGGACAATTCCCAACATCAGACTGTGAGTGGTCAGAATATGATCAGGCAGCGTCTCACTGCAGCTGCTCTTTGATACTGGCAGTGGCCCCTCATGCTGATGTGGTTCTTACAGTATGTCCTGACATTTTAATATAAGCTTATTAATTATCGTGTGAAATGTTATGGTTAACATGCCCTTTTTGGATTGGGGATTTACTCATAATTGACAGTAATGTTTCAACATGTGATTGTGAAACATCTTGTTTTAAAACAATGGACTTAAATATGCAGCTGTGGAGGACTCCACACTCTCTACAAACGTACTGAACGACTGATTCGATCCTATTAACAAAAAGCAAAAAACACATCACTGATTTTAGAAACTGAGGTTGGATGTTGAGGCCTGGCTCTAGAGGTTGTTTTCAGCTTTTGCATGTCTACAAACCTCTGTTCCGCTGCTTGACACAAATGTATGACCTTACACATTGTCTCTGGACTTGCTGTTTTATCAAGTTGCAATAAGGCAGATGGGATTTTTATTGTGTGTTCAAAACGGTAAAAGACCCATAAATAAGATTATTAATTTAAAGCGACAACACTGTCAAGTAGGCTGATGTTTTACATGTTGTGTTCTTTAATAATAAGGAAAGAATGTGTATGAAGGGGTTTTAGATAAAGATAAAGCAATAGAAAAATAAAGTCTGCGCGCCCTATTGGTTATCATTAGTCAATCATAAACAAAGACAAATTCTGCCTTGATGCAGCTCATCTATTCTATCTTTATACGTGTTCTTTAATATTCAGCTAGTTTCAGAAGGCTTCACCATCAATCAGAAAAGTTAAGACAACAAAGAAAGTTTTAAAATAGTCTTAAGACCAGCATTTGTGGCTGATTGATCTGCTGAAGTAGGATGTGCATTAAGATATTAAGGCGAGGAAAGATCAGATTGCCCTGGGCTTGCAATTCCCCGCCTCTCTTAAGCCCTAAACACACAGCGTTGCCATATCCTGATTGGCAAAGATGGGAAATGCAGCAAGCTGCTCTCAATAGTTTTTTTGGAGTGTGCAACAAGTGATCTGAATAAGCCTTCAATCAATTTCGGCATTCAGCTTAAATTAATTAGGAAGGGAAAATGACTACAGATACCAAAGAATTATTAATAGATTGCTTGCTGCATTAAAATGTCCCCTATTTGGAACCAAAGGTGCCCACTTTAAAAAAAATAAAAAACTGCCAGCCCCCAAAAGTACACAATATGTGTAACAGAGTTGGCCACTCGTTAGCCAACCTATACCTCTATACATTAGCATACCTATATGCAACATAATAACTCAGAATATTAAAATATAGGTACCATGTGACCTAACTACACTGTAGATATGTTCGTATGACCAATATAAGCATTGAACCTTGAACCTTGAACATGCATTATAATAAATGTATTTTTAGAAAGCCTAGACTGAGACTGTATAGAATTAAATATCTATCTTAGAAAGGAATGTGTTAAATATTGATAATGTGATTTAGTACATTGCCACTACGGTTACTATTCTTGCAAATCTTGTTTAGAGATTTAATGGGGCTCATATTGGCAGTGATGGGATGTGCAGGAGTGATGAGGGGATGAGAGCTGTGTTAATGCTCCGCTGTTACATTTCTTGGCAGATTACCAGCTCCGGACAAACTAAAGGGCACAGATGCTGCTAGACGAATGGATATTTTCTCTCTCTGTCTGTCTTCCTCTCTCCTCTCCTCGCCTCTCTCTGTTCCTCCGGCTCCCTGTCTGCCATAGACAGCAGAGGACAAGCACAGGAGGACACATGAAACTGTTCCCCAGCCTGCACAGAAACAAGACATCATCCCTTCCTATAAGACTTTTTAAACTGAGACGGGAAATGCTGTTGCATCACCTCTGACCTGTGATTTTTCTAAGGGCTTCTCAGGACTCCAGCAAAATGTTTTATTATTTTAATAATGAGCTGATAACTTTGTGACACTGTCTGGTTCTGGCAAGCTCTCAATTCATCACTTTTAATAGGCTATCCCTCAAGGTTAATTTAGAGCACAATTTGGGGAGGAATCTAAAATAAATCCTCAGAGAGAGAACATTTTAAATAATAATTAAAAAAATACAATTTGGAGCGTTATCTTTTTTCTTGTCCTTGGCCACCCAGATGTACAGCTTTTATAACAGCCAAAACCAAAATATAGTGTAGAGCCAATATACAGGAACTATGATGACTCATTGTTCATTTATTTCTCAAAGGGACAGAGTACTTCACGTGTCTATAAATCTAAAGTGTGCCATCCTTCCAGATTTGTATTGCTTTTCTGTAGAGAAGGTTGTTCCATGCTTCTTTAAATGCAAGGGTTATTCTCCTTCATGTGTTTTGTCCTTACTTTATAGTCCAGGAGTGCATTATAACTCTGTCTTCATCCCTCTCAGAGGCATATTCTTTTCCCGGAACCTTAATATCATATATTCATCGCCTTAAGAAAATGTCTATGTATCATCAACTTTAGCACTGTGAACATAATCCCCAGTGAAGTGAAACTAACACCAGCGACCAGATCAATGATTAATAAGGCACAATATTGTCAGAGGCATTGGCAGAGTAACACAATACCATCAACGTGCTCTCATGGGGCCTGTAACCTTGTCCTTGTGCTCGCAATCAGCTTGCCGCTTTGAGGCAGGGACTGAAGGAACGAGCATGGTGCAAAATTTTTCTGTCATACTTCTATCTCTTGTTTATACTGTACTAGTTAGTCCCCTGTGGAAACTGTTTGAAGGGCAAAGCAGGGGATGGGGAGGCGCAGAACAAAGGTAAAATAACCTGCGGGAATATCTGAGAACATAGCTTACATGTTGAGGTAATTGTTTTTCCATGACCCTTTTTTTTCTCCAATATATATTCAGTATGTTGGCCTCTGCAGCCCCATCAATCAAGTGGTGTGTGTGGTGCGATTCACTCCCTCTGTTATGCATGCATTGCACCACATCAGTTCAGCTGCTCTGCAAACAGCAAAAAGGTTCCTGTGTGGATTTATTGCATCTCTGTGACGGAGCCTTCTTTTACAACCATTCCATTTTATTGTGGGGACATTTTTTATGCAACTAATGAGGATTCTCAATAAGTGTGTGTTTTAATGTGTTCACTTTAATTTATCTAACTACTATTTGTCATTGGGAAATAAAGGGATATATTTGGAAATAAAACGGTTTTTTATCTTGTTTTGGAATATTGTGGTTTTTTTTATTTGAAGGAGTCTTTTGTAATGAACATCTGACTGTGTTCAATAAATGTTTAGGCTTATACATTTACTAAGCCTAAACCTATGGCAGAATAATGTCGGTTAAACTTAAACTCAGCTTTGACATGGAAAAGCTGAAAAATATCAGGTATATTTGTACTCATTTTAATCACACTTCATATACTGAAGATATACTGTCTCTTGGAAAATAATATAAAATGTTTCATAGCAGAAGACATTTTGCTCTGGATTAAATTGTTTCTAATACTTTCCCTATCTTGGCCTGACATAAACATCTCTAAATCCTCTCAGCCCTGCCGCCCCCTGCGCTCTGCTCACCTCTTCTTGCTGTTATGCTTGGATACACAACCTGTCATTGCTACCTTATACTGTGGGTCAAAAGACAGATTAATGTAACAAAGGTTTACAGGATTTCTGTGTGTTGTAAAACAGCAGTGTGAATCTTTTCGTTTTTCTGTGGGTGTGTGTGTTATAGAGATTGGTGCTAGTCCACACCAGGCCCTGCAGGCTGCTGCTTTGTGCATTGTGCCTCCAGTTTGCTGTCCGTCATCACTCCAACAATGTGTAACTGTGTGACCCCTTTTGTCTCAAGGCACTATAGGCTGTGCGCATGTGAAGGCAGATAAAGAGGTGTGACACACACACACACACACACACACACACACACACACACACACACACACACACACACACACACACACACACACACACACACACACACACACACACACACAAAATGCAGGACCTTTTTACACTGAGGTTCTTAAGGAAGGCGATGTGAGTAGTGACTCAAAGGCTTTAGAAACATTTTATAAACACAGATGACCTTCATTTATCACTGTGCACAGTATTTCCCAATAGTGGGACCTTTATGCTTTGAAAGTGAATGTTTCAACTCTACTGGAGACAAATAAGATTCAATAAAAACAATGCAGCAATGTCAGCAAACTGTACATTCACATCATTTTGTGAAAGACAATGAAGAATAATGACATCCCAGTTCAAACTTTTGCAAGTGCCTCGAAATTATATTACTGGCCAAAAGGATGAAACAGATCTAACTTACCCCCCAAGAGTTATTTACCCTTTTCTGCTTTGTGAGGAACTATAATGAATTATCCGAGCCAATAATACATCTACTACATCAAAAGTGCTAGCAGAACCTTTTTCATCCCCAAGTGCACCCTGATAATTAAATGAAAAAGGAATGTGTAAACCAAAAGTGCTTTGAGCAAAATGCAAATTGATCCAAATAGAAAAAATGAGCACCACTTTCTTTCACTGAAGTGCTTCAAGAATTCAAATTAACTGAATTATGCCTCATAAAAAACATACCAATATGACTTGATGTCAAATGTTGTTGCTGACCCTGACCCTGTTTCTCTTATTAATGTTGCCCTTGATTTAGAACCATCTTGTTACAGAGTCCCACATTCCTGAAAAATAAATAATTAAATGACTCAGGAAATACATTTAGTTCCTCCTTTAATGAATGACTGTCCGCTGCTTGTGTTCTGCAGCGTGAATCTTGATTTGTCATAAACATCTCTTTTTGAAATGATAAGCATTCACAATGACAAACTGTCTTTATGGGCCACTGCCATTACTTGTCCATACAACACACATTGGCTTTTATATAAAGTACAGTTTCTGATAGAAGTCCAGAAGCTATTGTCCCTTTCAATCTGATTGGGTATCCAAAACATTCTCAGGAAAAAAGGGGATCTTAAGCTTTCTTGGCATCCCGTTGGTGATGGCTATGGTGGTGTACACTGGAAGAGGCTTACTAAAGATGTTTACCAAAAAGGATAAATGGGAGCAAGATATTGGTGAATCTGAATGTCTTCAGCACAATGAATAATAATGTTACATTCAAAGTAGTAATTTGATTCAGTGTCAATCTTTTTTTGAAATATAGATTAAAGCAAGTTTGGGGAAAACAAGGTGCTGCAAGATTAACATTCCAGACTTTACATTGTTGATACAAAAAACATAAATAATCCATACATTCTGAAATGCTGCGATATGTTATAATACAATCATGTTCTAGTGTAGGTTACAGGCAGACAAATAAGCATGTATTATGTCTAATGATAATTAAACTTGAGCCTCACTGACAGATTCACCATCTTCAGATAATTCAAATCACCATCTTCAGATAATTCAAATTTGTCAGCCGAATATTTTCCTATATATATATATATATATATATATCAGAGTAATTGGTTGGTGCCAAAGTCACAAAGAATAATTATATATAAATATATTTGAGATTTCTTTATATATATAAAAAATACTAACTCATTCTGAATATGCCAGTTTTATTTTAGCTTTCAGCTGCTGCTGTTATCTATTATCATACAATAATTGAGGTGGTAGTGTTTGGGTGTTTGCAAAATAAAATATCTTGAACAAATACATGTGTATAGCATACAGAATATTAAATGTGCATTAGTTCAATTTGTACTGTATATGAACCTTCAACCATTTCCTTGAGTCAACTTTGAAAAAGTGTCCTTAGCTTTATCTTTGTAGTCTTAGAACTTTTTGTATGGACACCATTTGGGGAGAAAAGCTTATACAAACCAAATGACCCATTACATTGAAGTCTACAGTCACACCACATGCCCTCGTTTTCAATTTCAGACTGCTGAACAAACCAGATAACAATAACATCAACAGACTTCTTTTCTGTTTGTGAACCAGCAATTCTCCCTTAAATGTGTTTTTATGTGCTTTTCATTTGACTGAATATCCCTAAATATCACGTCAAATATCAATGATTGTTTTTACGTTTCTTTAAACTTATTTTCCATGTTTTCCAACATTTTGGCATTTGTCCTAAGTGAGTGGAGTTTTTATAGAACATGAATAAATTGCTGATTTAGAATGTCAGACTCACATGATAAATACATCTCAAAACATCTAAATGTGAACCTCAACACAAGTTGAGAAAAATCATCTGAATTGGGAGATTTCCAGCTACACATAGAGCATAGCCATGCAGTCATTATTCTGTGTGTTATCCCTCAACCCTTTCTCTGGCTCTGTGAATGAGATTTGATTTCTTATTGCAAACTTTTACCAATATGTATCAAAAAGTAAAACCTATATTGCCTCATACACAGTCTCATCGGCTAGTGACATAGCTGAAGCATCTAAGGGATGAATCTTGTTTTGATTAGATGTCTTGTAATATTTGAACAAGTCTGCTCTGATTTAGTTGGTGCTAAATGTTCTGATAAGAAGAGAAAAAGCGGCAAAATCGTTTTAGCGTGAGATTATGTCTCATATGAGATTAGCCAGACTCGAGTTTGTTTCCCTGCGAGCGTGACGGTCCATGTGTCCAGAAACAGTGAAGATATTCAAGACTCGGTCCACAAACCTTCGTCCATGCCTTGTCCTCTCAAGCAGGATGACCACAACAGAGTATATTCCAACACCCACAACTGCAGTCCCCCCTCCAGCCAGCAAAACTACTCCAGAAATGTACATGTCATTAAGAGCTTGACCAGGCTTCGGCATGTGATTAGCTAGGGCCAGGTGTAGTAGAACCCCTCCACAAATCAACAGTGACATCCCGGTAATTGATACCACAAGGAGGTCCGATAAACCACCACTTTTCAGCATGTTAATCCTCTGCCGGCTTCGGATGCAATTCATGTCCTGCACGGCCGAGCTGAGCAGTTGTTTGAGTAGCACTCCTAGGGCGAGTAAGCAGAGGGCCGTGCCTGCGCCAAGCCGCCATTCGCTTGAGACACTGGTAGTCGTAGAGAGAAGGCCGACACCTCCCAGGCCGCACCCCAGGATTAGAAGTACAGCCACGAAGTAGCAGAGCAGAGACTTCCCAGGATCTCTGAACCACCACAGCTCCACCTGCTCGTCCAGGATGCTGTGCTGAATCCGAAGTGGGTCTGCTGGACTATTTAGCTCCAATTCAGAGCCACCCTGACCCCTCAGGGGGGAAAAGTTGTCCAGTTCAGGCATCTTGATGCCACTCCCAGCCTGATAGAAAAGGTCGCCACCACAACGGGTACAATAGAATCCCCTTGATTATAGCCTTCAGACCTTCAGTCCCTATTTCACTCACCAACAGCCATCACTAGTGTGTCAGGACCAGCTGGAAAAAGAATCAGCATTCAAATATTATCCGTCTGAAGTGTCTTGAGTTGGTGGGATATATGCAGAGGAAATTAATGATATGCACAAAAACTATATCCCAAAACACTTCACTGAGCTCAGTGAATTGTAGTTTTATTCCTTCTGGCCTCTAGAGTTCAGGTCCTGTGCAGAGGTACATCCTTGTAGCTCATTCTTACAGAGGTGGATCCAAATCCCCTTTGCAGCTTCAATGTCAAAGACAGAGCCAAAACTTCCACAGACCTTCCAATCTGATTTTCCAGCTTAGCAGAAGACACCTGAAGAAGACAGATATAGATGTATCAAGGTTTGTGCAAAGTGTACATTTACTTTTCATATATTTTCAGAGTGATATTGCTGATCAGAGGCAGTGTAGGGACATGCCTCTGCTGTTATTCTACAAAATGACTTTTGGTTTGTTGCAGAGAAAGAGAAAATTGTGTATTTCGGGTACAATGGGACACTTTTCTGATAGGGGTTGCTTAACTATCTAAGTTACATCAAAGTACACAGAGATCCATTGTTAGACATAGAGAGACTTGATACGCAAGTTGAAGAGTTTAAGCTCCTAATGCCAAGGCACACGAGGGGATAGG